TATATATATATATATATATATATATAAAACCATTGAAGTGATTTAAAGTAGATCACAACTCTTCAAGATGTCATAGTTGCAGGTCTGGTGAGAGATACTGTAATCAAAGAAGAAAACAAATGGTGCACCAATGTCCCCCGTTGATGAATTATTTGAATAGTGAATGACTGGAACTGAACAGGGAATGCAAGTAAACCTTAATGTATTTGATACAAGATATTTAAGTGGGTTGGAAAGACACGGTGTGGAGCAAAGTGATAGATCCTGGCGAGTGAAGTGAGAAATATCTAAACCCCATCAGGTACAATGGTGGAGCCCAGGGGTGGCAATGGTGGCCTTGGCCCCCATTGCTTAATTTTCAGCCACCATGCAGGCCACTCCAGTCATTTGTGAAAAATGTACTTTTAAGCAATATAAAAACTAGAAAGTGTAGCTTTCTCAAATGATAGGGGTGGTTGTTTTACATAAATATTTTGGTGGCCATCTTGAATTTTGACGTGTCAATCCAATGTCCAAGAGGAACCTTTCTAACTCCAAGTTATTGCGCTCACAACATGCATGTACAGACAGATGAACGGAGGCTATTTCCAATTGCCCATTCTTTGCTCTGAGGCAGGGGACAAAAATGGGAAAAATATTGATAATTAACTCATACTTTTAAATGTATAAGTTACTTCCATAAATGTCTGGATTAAAGTAGCTAGCCCTGTTTACCATTTAAATATTTAGGCCCGAGCAGCTAAGCGCTGTGAAGGCCTATTGTAATCGCTCTGTTCAGGCCCAAGCTGCAATATTTTCCGCCAAATGAATTGGTGTTTTGGGGGCCTTAACATATCCCAAAAGTCACCAAATTTGGCGGACGCATCAGGACTGGTGAAAAATTATGTGTTTTAAGGGCGTGGCAAAAATTGCAACAAAAATGGCTCAAGAGCGCCACCTGGAAATTTTCAAAATACCATCCACATTAACCTTAGTTTGTCTAAGAAACATGACATTTGGTACGCTTGTCCAATTCCCGAAGATGCACAGAAAACCACAGATATCATATAATCACTAGATCCCTCATTGGCTGCTGCGGCGCAGGATTTTCATCCGCCATCTTGGAGCGGTTGTCTTATTTGGTTAAAGCAGAAGACGTCTCAGCACATCACAGCTTATTTCTGTTCTAATCGATGGACTGTTGACATCAGGTCTCGGGGGATAACTTTTCACAAGTAAGATGAACATATTATTGTTAGTATT